TTGATTAAGCTAATAGCTGATTTGGCTTTGATCTGATGTATTTTGATCTTATTATTTTTATGTTAGAAGCCTCTAAATAATCATCATTTCAACAGTGCCCCAATTAGCCGGCCATTCACAGTAGATTGAAAATTGACTCACATTGGGCCTCTCCATTAGCGCCTGGGAGAGACTTCCAGCCTTAATAATCCTCCCTTCTCCAGAGGCTGGGTGCTTGTGGTGCGGCAGGTAGTCAGTCACAGAGGGGCCACCACGCCCCTCATACCAAGAGGCTGTCAGCACAGGTGAGGAATGGCAGGGTGGCTCCTAAGTCTGATTGCTGCTAATGATGTTTGAGATCAGCGTATGTTTTATCATGACATTTTCTTGCCTCTCCCCCCTCTCTTCTTTTCTTTCCTGCTTCCTCCTGCAGGTCCGCTCCCTTTTCCTTAGTTTGTTCCCTAATATTTTTATGTCACTTGCTTTCTGTCTTCTTCTTCCCCAAATCAGAGGCGACTTTTTAAAAGGGGGGTCCTGAGACAGGGTTTCGGTGTTTGGTTTGGCTGGTCTGGAACTCACTATGTAGCCCAAGCTGGCCTTGAATTCATGGTAGTACTTCTATGTCAGCCTCCAAAGTGATGGGATGAGCCTTCAGACCCATTGGTAACTAATACTGCTGAAGGTCCTGGGTGTGAGCTGGCTGCAGGTCTTGATGTGAGAAGACAGGGAGGGTCCCTGGGGAGAGAAAGAAAACTGGCATCTGTTTGGTTCCTTTCTGTGTGCAGGATGGATGGAGAAAGTATTTACGACTGGCCTTCCGAGCCAGGGTAAGTGGAGACTGTCATCTCCATTGACTAGAACACTGAGACTCAGAAAGTATAGCATGTGCCCAGGGTCACATGGCTGCTGGCCAGATGGATGAAATGGGAGCTTGAGCTCTTTTGTTATTCACAGCTTTGGTAAGGTAGCTTCCCTATTCCCATGGGTTTAAATCTTCATTTGCGATTTTGATGCCAACCATATAACTACATCCCCTGCATCCTGGAAAGCGTCCTTTCTCTTTCCTCTTGCCAAATCATAGAATATGTGTCCTGGGAGGATCCAGAGTGCACAGGGAGATATGTATATGTTATTGGCATGTTGGACATATGCATGAAATAAAAGGAGGGCATGGGCCAAACCCTGGTGTTCAGTGGCATGTATGTACAAATGGGGAAACTGAGGCTCAAAGTTCTGTGACTTCAGAGCTTGAGTATATGGACTAGGGAGTTGGCTTACCATAGAAGTCAGGTGGTGACTTAAGAGGGAGCTGGGCAGATGGATGATAAGCCAGGAGTGACTGATGGCTTGTAGAAAGGATGCAGGAGATGGAGTTCCCGGACCATTAACCCTGCACTGTTTAATTTATTTGAAAATATTGTTTAATATTTTAATGCAATGTCAGGATTGAAGAGACAATGAATCAAAGAACAACCCATGCACCATCATGGTGGCTTAGCCATTTGTGTTTCTTGCCTTATTTGAAGGCATGTTTCTATTACATTGTAATCAGCATACAGTGTTGTATCTGTTTTTTCCTCTCTGGACCATATCTCAGAAGTATTTCAACCATGTCTGTGGCAATATGGGAATGGACTGGTAGTTCACGTTAGTCCAGCACCATCACTTGATACTTATGTGGCCTCTCATTTTATTATCTGGGAAGCAGAAGCAAAAATCTGTTTCCTAAGTGGATACAAATGAGAACAACATGGATTCACACATAGCAAATCTCAACAGAGTCTGGCTCTGAGGAAATTCTCACACAGTAGCCCTTCTTCCTCCATGTTTCCAGCTTATCCATTATCAGAGGATTCTTTTTGCTTTTTAAAAAATAAATTACCTATTCATGTCATGAAATTTTGGCAAAATGTAAGGAAAAAAAAAAAGAAATGTATTCCCAAATTGCGTTCACTTTGAACGTTTTACATTTTTCCTTTCTGGTCTTTCATGTATATTGAATTTTACTTAATTGATACTGTAAAATACATAATACACATATTTTTGTATGATTTTCATGTTCCTTTTTATGACAAGTACTTTCCAGTGTTGTTGTATTTGGTGCACAGCTGTAAGGGCTGTATGTGCTTTCAGCGTATAGCACATCCATAACCACACACCTATTTGCATCTTCCAGGTAGTTTGCAGTGTTCTCTGAGTACTGCCAAGTGTCCTCTTATGCTTCTGGATCTAGCACTGTTCCCATGGGCTGGATAGGTGCCCAGAGAGGAATGAGGGACACAGAGCATGAAAATGTCAGGGTCCACGATATCCTTGCACCAGTCATTATGAGCTCCATCCTTTGTCCACTGCGTGTGCTGTGTGTGTGTGTGTGTGTGTGTGTGTGTGTGTGTGTGTGTGTGTGTGTGTGGTTAGCGTGACAGAGATCACTCTTGTCCTCCTTGAGAGTCTCTAGGAGGTTCAGGTGGTTGTAGATACAATGTGAAGTGCCATAGTGGGGGAAGTGTGGGGATCCTGAAAGAAGGCTTTGCCAGCCCGGGAGGTTCAGTCAGTCCTGAAGCAAGGACGAGCAGGAAGTTGAGTTCCAGAGTGGAGGGGGTCAATCCAGAGTATAGAGAGAGAATGAAGAGCATGAGGTGCTGGCATGATGTGTCTGCAAGTCTTCCCCCAGGTAGGCATGCATGTGTGTATGTGTAGCATGTATGAGTGTGAATGCATGGAGAGACAAGTGGTCAATTTCAGATGCTGGCCTCTGTCACTGAGGTAGTGCCTCTCACTGAACCTGGAGCTCACTGACCTAGTGTAGCTGGTCAAAAAGGCACAGGGTTCCTCCTGCCTCAGCCTGTCTGGTGCTGGGATTATGGGTGTGCTTTTTAAAAATTAGTTTTATTTTGAGATTATAATACAATCACATCATTTCTTTCTTCCTCTATCCTCCTTCCAACCCCTCTCAAATACCCCTCTTTGCTCTCTTTGAAATTTATATATGGCTTCCATTTTCATTAATTATTGTTACATATGTGTGTTTGTTCCTAAATACCCAAATACAACTTGTTAAGTCTGTATAATGTTACTTGTATGTATGTTTTTAGGGCTGACCATTTGGTTTTGGATAACCAATTGGTGCTCTCTTCCTGGAGATGACTATTGCCCAACATTCCTTAGTTACCTATAGTTCTTTTTGCAACACATGGAGACTATTGCAGAAAACCACAATCAATCAAAATACAGAGTTGTGGAACCCAGTTCCAATGGATGGATAGAACTTCTATGTAATTCCTGCACCAAAGGCTTAGGAATCATTTTGAAAGAAGGGATGGAAAGGTTGTAAGAGCAGAAGAACAGGGAGTTTGTTTTGAGATTGTGCTTCCTGGTAATGTCAGAGGCTACACTCATGAAGTCTTACCAACACAACTGCTTAATTATGATCTGAACAAGGACTATACCAGTAGACACGTTAACATGGATGGAGCTGGAAACACAAGGAACTATAGGCAACTAAGGAATGTGTTGTCTTTTGTATGTGTGTGCTGGGCATCAGAACTAAGGTCCTCACGGCCATGTGGCAAGGATTTTACACACTGAGCCATCTCTCTAGTCCTCACTGGATGTCTTTAAACAGGCACAATGTAATTTTATTTCTGTGAATCCAGGATTGGGGGGGCAGAACATTCTGGTGGCTGTGAGATCCTTGAGAGAGACCTCATGCCCTTGTTTACCCATGGCACAGGAAGTGGGGGAATCATTGGGAACTGGGGCCTGAGTTATCACCTATGATGGTCCTCGGTGTATATGGCAAGGCCCTGATATGGGAGCAGCTGCTGTTGGTGCTAGCTGGTGAAGGGGATACCCCCTTCCACATATTTTCCAGCTTCTCACTTCCTTCCACTTGGGGTGAGCTCTCTTGTTTTTCACCTCCTTCTCAGCCCTGTCTGAAGAATTACATAAACTCTGGGGTTCCCACGAAGGAACTGCTTTGTCGAAGTTGTTCAAAGCCTACTGCGTGCAGCAGATGGCTCGCTGCCATTTACAGGCTGTGTTTGGAGACTGCATCTGCTTCCCACTTTCCCACCGTCACACAATGTATTCATAAGACATGCTTGCTCAAAAACTGGTTCAGGGAGTTAGGGGTGGGGAGTAGGACCTTTCTATCTGCTCTGATGTTCATAAAAGGTGTGAGTTTATGGCTAACAGCATGCCCCTTGTAGTCACTGGGTGACTTTGGAAGTCCTGAGTGTGTTAGTCCTAGAATGGGCTGTTGTCACCTCGGTCTCATTTCTCCTCTGTGCCCTTGGTAACTGCCTGAACTATGGGTGCATCTTCCTTTGTGATTGTCAAGTGGCTTTTCAACAACCCTGGGCTTCTGGAGCCAATCACTTCATCTGGGATTTGATCCAGTATTCTTATGATAGGACTCAAGTGGACTTGGCCAGGAGAGCGAGACTCCTGCCCTCTTCCCTTCCCTGTTTTGGATCCTCTGGGGGTAAGTATTATGTCTTCCTGACATCATGATATCATCCAGGTCTTACGGATCCAAGCAGTTGAGTTCAACCAACAATTGCACAACACATACTGTGTTCTTTGCCCATGACAAAGGACATAAAGATTCCCCAGCATGCATTTTATGCTCCTCTCCAGCATTTTGGCTACTGGCCCCAAGGTGAGAAACATTGTCTAACTGAGAGTTCTGTTTGGTGAATCAGGGGGATTTGGGGTGGATCCTCCTTTGACTTGTCTGGGGCAATGCATCCTGCCATTTGGGACCTTTCTGTCCTCATCTGTTAAATGAGCCTGAGATATGGAGCTGGTTCTCAGTGTTCATGGTGAGTTAAGGTTATCAGCAACTAACTAATGAGAGCTACTGGCCTGTGTGGGAGCTGGCCTGCCTGGGAAGGCTCTTTATCTGTGTGGGGAGGCATCTCAGGGTCACAGGCATGAGCTTCTGGGTAGAGCTGTGGGAATGAAGCCTGTGCATCAGTGTCCCATGCTGATTTCTTCCTGTCTTTTTCCTCTCTTTCCAGCCTGTGACCTCATGACCCAGGGAATTTTGGCCTTGGTCACATCCACAGGCTGTGCATCTGCCAACGCCCTGCAGTCCCTCACAGACGCCATGCACATCCCACACCTCTTTGTCCAGCGCAACCCTGGGGGTTCACCACGTACTGCCTGCCACCTGAACCCTAGTCCTGATGGTGAGGCCTACACACTGGCTTCGAGACCACCCGTCCGTCTCAATGATGTCATGCTCAGGCTGGTGACAGAGCTGCGCTGGCAGAAGTTCGTCATGTTCTATGACAGCGAGTATGGTGAGTCCAGGGTGGATGGGCCGAGGCTTGGTTTCAGGGACATCTGGGTGCTGGTTGCCTTAATACCAGAGGCTTCAACCATAGTACCCAGTGCTGAGGTGCTGTCAGGGTATAGATCCATATTGGTGGTCTGGGCTGACTTCTCCTCATGGTGGTGGGGCCCAACCTTGAGCACCATGTATCACAGGAGAGCTGCAAAAACAGATCTGTAGATCGGCACTAAAGTTGCCTAGCAACATCACCTTATCATGACAGCTGAAGTTTGAATCATCTTAGAATTTTCAATAAAATATTAATAAACTGCTGGCAGGGATCTGCTGCATACAGGCAGTGGTGCAGGCTGCCTGCCTGGGTTTCTTGGCGTCTTCTCCTCTGAAGGTTATCCCTCATGCTGGATGGTGGTCCAGCCTTGGCTTTTTATTTACACCCACCTTGATCTGCCCTGTTTTAGGGTTTTGGGCTGGGGAGAAGATCAGAAGAAGGGATGCCTTAGCTGGTGGGCCTGGGAACACAATGGCTATTAGTGGTTTCTTTAAAGACCTCTTTTGAAGAAGTAGGCATAATTTACTTGTTAGGAAACTACAAAAGTGGGCTTTGGAGGGACTGCTTCATGGTTGCTGAAAGTGCCTCTGTAATAGATCAGCCCGGGCTCCCAGATAAAGTGGCTTCCATGACTTGTGCTCCCATTGACAGTCACATGCCATTATGAAAAGTAATGCAGAAGGATCTCATGTGCCCTTTGCCCAGGGTGCCTAAGGCTAGCACTTTGCTTAGCTATAGTACAGTATAATGACCAGGATTTGACCATGGTGCAGCTTGCAGGCTCTTCATAGTTTACCCATTTTCATGTGTGTTCAGCCGATCTGCTGTGGGTACAGTTTCATGTCTGCAGTATTTATCTTCCATGCATGTTTGTGTGATTACCAGCCAGGATCCAAAGTGGTTTTCTTAAGAATTCCTAGGCTACACTTTTACAGCCACAACCACCCCAATACCTGTTCAAATTTGATGGGCACTTGTGAGGCTTGGCAGCCCCCTGGGCTGAGGTTCAGACTGAACGGTGCAACCCTTTGAAGTTCAGCTTTGTCTCCTGGTGAAATAATCCCTTTGCCAAGAAAAGAAATCAGTGTATGCTTGCATTTGCCTAAATACTCTGCTTCCCTAAGTCCTCACTGTCCTCAGTGGCTTGAACAAATAAACTGTTTGGAGCCTTCCAGGAAGAAGTGAAAGAGCAAAGAGTTACTGTGTTGAAATATAACTGTGGTGGTGGTGGGGACAAGGGTGGCTCACAGCTCCAGGGATTCTGCTGGCATGCTCAGGAACTGGCCTTTCCCTCTGACACTTGCTCAGTCTCAGATCCCCTGGGAGGAGCTGGAGATCTTGTAACAGCACTGATGTGCCCCATGGCATCTCTGAGAAATCAGGTCTCACCCCAGGAACCAAACCTTACTGTCCTCCTGTTGGTGCTGAGACTGAGCCCGGTGGGAGGTGTGGGCACCATCACCAGGGGTGGGGCATGTCCTTTCAGTTCTCCTCGTAGGTACCACTGCTCCTCTTGTCTCTGGCCTGTACATACCATTCTCCTTGGGGTCCTTTTGAGGAGTCACAGCTGCAAAGGAGATGGGACAGGGTGCCAGCTCTCTAGCCTGCTCACTGTCTGGCCTTCTGTGATCCTTGATGACTGAGTGGTTCCCGGAGGCACTTGCCCAGAGCCTGTCTTCTCATTCTGCTTCTCACTTCCATCTAACTCACATAGCAAATGTTCCAGGAAAGGTGTCTTTTTCCACCCCGGTCCAGCAGAGCTGACATCTTAGTCTCCTGCTTACCCATTCTCAGCCCACTTGGCTCAGCCTGACATTCATGGGGACTTGTCCCTGATGTCCACTGGACTCCCGCAGAGGTGGCCATGCCCAGAAGAGTAGGCCATGTGCTTTTCTTTTCACTGTCCTTCAGCACTGTGCCTGGTACTATGTGAATGACAAACTCATGGATGAAGACATGTGAGTGTACAATAATTTTTGAAAAAGACAAAGGAGAGATGGAGAAAGATGGGGCTACTGGGTGGCCTGACATCTGATCTAGGATGGAGTAGGGAGCTAGGAAGAATGATTCATCTTGCAGAAATAATTCTAGCTCATCTTCTTCAAACCCCAGCCCTGAACCTGGAACAGCCCCCAAAGTGTGCCTCTCTGTTCTAATATGATGCTCCTCTACCTTTACTGGGGTTGGATTTAGTTCTTGGCTAGCCTGCCCTTTATCATTAATCCCACAAAGATGCTGAGTGAATAACAGCTTTCATCAGATATGAATCACTGTGTTGAGAAGGATGCAGAGGCTGAATGTGGGCTCAGTAACACAAAACTATGTTTAGGGTGCTGGGAGGCATTCCATGGTAAAGGGAGGGCCTGGAAGCCACCTCTGTTTGCTGATTGTGGTGGGGCATGGAAGTGGCTGGAGCATCAGAAGTCCATGCCCAGCCTCCTGCAGATGGTGCTGTCCAGGGTCCTGACCCATTTGGGGTCAGTTGCTTTGGAGGTCACAGCTCTTTTATTGTAGTCTGTGTGGGATCCTGATGCTTTTTCCCACCCTGGCCATCAGCCTCTAGACAACCTATGGGGCTAGTCTGTACCTTTAAAAGTTTCTCTACCATGACTCTTGCTGCTCGGCCTGACTATTCCCCTCGTGAATACCCCAGCCTGTTTGCCCACAGGAGTCCCATTAATGAGCTAAGGCACATGACACTCACAACATACATGTACTAAATCCCACAGCATCACTGGCAGTGGAATGTCCATGTGTCATGGTGGATTCATGTTGCCAATGTACCTGCATTGATGTAGTTTCTGATGAGCTCAATTAAAAAGCAAATTGTGTGTAATAAATTCTCTTACTTCTCTCAAAGTCTAACAGAAGTGGCTTGGGATCTCATGACTTTTCAGTGCTGTTCTATAAGAATCTTTACATATGTTATTTCATTTATGCTACATTTTGCCAGTGAGGCACATAGGCTTAGGAGATGCTGTTTGGAGTTAAAGCCCATGCACTTAGCCAAGACCCCTTTCAATTTCTTGCTAAGCTTTAGCTTTCTTTTCTGGTACCCAGCCAGTCAGAGTCATTGCCATGGCTTAGAATAGACCAGGCATGCCTTAGGGAGCAGCTTATCCTGTAGTGAACATCACAATCAGACCCTTCCTTTGGGGGGGGGTGGAGAGGATTGTTTCTTCCCCATTTCCCAGTCAGTCTTCCCTTGATCTCGGGAATGTCTTCCCCTGGTAGAACTGAGGATTGGTCATTGCATCAAGTGTGAGATTGGAGCAGGGAAGCCCTGATGTTTGGATGTCGAGTGTCCCTTAAGTGTTCATGTTAAGGACTTGGTTCCCCGGAGAGTGATGTTGGGAGGTGCTATAGACCTTGAAGGGGTGGGTCCTTGAGGGAAGTCCTCAGGCCATGGGGCATGTCCCCGAGGGAGATTAGGGGAGTCCTGCCTTTGTAGCTGTCTGTACTTGTGATGTGAGCAGAGTTCCCTGCCCTGTACTACCACCATGACTGCTGCACTTGAATGGACTCATAGCACCCACGCTGCCTGGTCTTGAACTTGAATGTCCAAGACTATGAGCCAAAACAAACCTGTCTTTTTCCATGGTAATGGTCTCAGGTACTTCACTATGGTTACAGAAATCTGACTAATACTGGGTGAGAGAGGAGTTTGTATGTATTTGGTTTACAAAATATGAGAGGTGCCATTTGGTACAATTCCATGGAAAACACTCGTGTGCTTGTTGTGACAGCAAAAGGAAAAATAGAAGGGAAACTGACATTTGGGGTAGAAAATCCGTAGCATGAAAATACCAAAAGTTTGGATGGAATAGAGCAGAGAACTCTCTGTCTTCATGCTTCAAATGCTGGTGTGTGTGTGTGTGTGTGTGTGTGTGTGTGTGTACACGTACGTATATGCACATGTGTGCCCACACATGCAGGTATGTACAATCATGTATGTGTGTGCATGACCTGAGATTGACCTCAGGTGTTATTTCTAAGGAGTCATCCATCTTGTTCTTTGAGTCAAGGTCTTTCACTGGGACACAGGCCTTTTGATTAGGCTGCTAGCCAGCCCAAGGATCCTCCCAAATCTGCCAACCTCCCAAGGCTTTTTGTGTTGGTGTAGGGGAACTCAGCTCCTTGTGCATGTGTAGCAAAACTATACTGACTGAGCTACCTTGCCAACCCCTTAAAATCACCCTTTAAAAAAACTAGAAGCTACATGATTGCAGTGCATATTCCCAATCAAAATATTAATAATGATCAAAGGAATCCCTGGAATCCACATTCAGTTAAGAAATATAAATGGTCCCCATGTTCTCATCTCTGATCGTTTTCTACCCTTGTGAGGGGACTGAACTGGTATTGACTGTGTGCTAGCCAGTCCCTGGCCTTACTTGATGGCTCTGGATCATGTAATAGATGTTGTTTGGTTGGCTTCTTTGTGAACCTTCTATATGTGCAATAATCCTTCCATGGCTGCTTTTCTCACTCTTCACTAGGGTTCTGAGCTTTATCCATTTGATGCAGATAGAGTAATCATTTTTATTGCCTCACAGCATAGCTAATTTATCTATCTGATCATTAATGAGCATTTGGATTATTTCCAGGTTTTGGTATTACACATAGCATTGCTAAGAACATATTCATATTTATCTTTTGGTGGTTTGTGAAGAGTTTTGAGTGTTTATTCTGAGGAGCAGAATTGCTGGACTGCTGGATCAATGCATGTTTTATGTTATTCACATCTACTGAGTCCATCCCTGTGTGCTTGCCTGTGTACACTGCTTCATGCCTGTAGGAGGCATCTCTAGCGCCTCCCCCCGCCCTGCCCGTGCTAACTGATGTCTCCTGTTGCATGTGAGTAGAGGGAGGATTCTAGTGCAAAGTGTTGTATTGCTCTGATACTAATTTACATTTTCTGTATATGGTCTTTTCACATCTTCACAGGCTATTTTTGT